TGACCACCAGAAAAAACCCTAAACCAACCCAGCTGGAGGAGACAACTCAGAATGAATTTTACATTACTGATTGTATTTCCATACATACTTAAATTATGAAGGCTCCAAACGCCACCAAGATAATAACCTCTTCATCAACTGCAATAAGAAGCACTATCTAGAAGTGTGAAAGAGAATATCCTCTATTGCTACAGCTTCTGGAATAAACTCAGTATCAAAGAAATACTATAAGAGAAAAACACGTGATGCATTTTACATCAAAAATGATGATCTTTTTGTTCACTATTTGATAGGTTCACTTGGCTTAAACTGACAAAATTAATATTCATTTCAGTGCCATTATTATTCCAATACCAACAGAGTCTACAGGTAACTTACTTTAAGATATATATATATATATATATATATATATATATATATATATATATATATATATGCAACTCTAACCAATAGAAACAGCATAAGTGCTGATATACTTACTCACTGGCTATTCCAAATGACAGACTGAAATTAGCACCTTGCATTGCCACTCAGAGGAACAGTGGATTGACAGAGAAGAAAGATTACTCATTCCCTCTGCTCTCTATATCTAAGAGCTACCAAGTCAAAACAGCATGAGACTTAGAAAAGCCAAGCCAAGCCCCCATCCTTGGCAACTAAGGCTTCCTTAAATTGTATTTTCATGAATAATTTTTTAAAGCTTTTCAGACATCAAAGCACAAATGTTACAGGCAGATGCAACATTAAATTCTCCTATCTGCTTATCTTCTTCTAAGTGTGTGAATAGTTACCTTGAGTCAATTTTTTCCCTCATTTTGTGTTTAATTAGCTTCACTGCTTCCCCTTTGCTTTCATGTCCCCAGCATCTTCTCAGATAGTTCTTTAAAAGAGCAGCTGCAAACTTTATCAAGGTATCCATTGCTGGGACACTGCTGATGCAAGGAATGAGCTGGAGAGAGTGAACTGCCAAGGGTCAGGTAGAATTTTTCTCCTTAGGAATTATCTCTGTGCCCCTTTTCTACTGTCACTTTACATCTGTGGCAACCCCAGGCAGGGTACAATATCAAAGTGTTGCTGTGGTTACTGAGTCTTTCTCACTGAAGAAAAGGAAGGAAAAGAAACCGCTTTTAATAATTGCTCTTTAATTACTTTTCAGGAGATTATTTGCTGAACAACAACAAAAACCTTCTTAGGAAAATAGACAGAGAGCAGACAGGGATAGAAAATAGACAGGGAGCAGAACTGTGTTGGAGTCAATTATGTTTCCTTAACACCAAAAAATTATGGTTTCCAGAGTAGGAAACCAAAAGTCTCTTGTTTGACTGGAAAGCAAAAAGGGATGGGGGAAGAAGGAGAAGAGTTGCTATTTATCTTCCTGAGCAATGGTTATGCATGATGGGGCTCTGCTTTCCCGGAGGTGGCTGAACACCTGACTGCCCATGGGAAGCAGAGAATGAATGCTTTATTTTGCTTTGCCTGTATGTGAAGCTTTTGCTTTACCTACTATGCTCTATCTCCACCCAAGAGTTTACCCATGTTTATCCTTCTTGTTCTCTCCCCCACTCCTCTGAGGGGATAATAAGCTGCTGAGTGGCTTGAGCTGCCTACCAGGGTTAAATCACAACACTGTGGTTTAACTGGGCTCCTAAAAAACAGAAAAGGAAAAAGCACCACACTCACATTTCAACTCAGCCAGATCTATTATTTTTAATAAAGCTTGGCACTCAAAGACTACACAACAACCTGGTTTGGGTTTTTTTACTTACTGTTAGAAGAATGGAAGGAATTCTAAGAATTAAAACATCTTCTGACTTACTGAATTGAGGAGTGGGGGCATTGTACAACCATGTGTATGTGAGAGTGACAATGTTTATACAAAGCAATTTCTTCAATACAACAGTAGTAAGAAAAAAATCCTAAATCATCCTGTTTATTTAGAATTGCTTTTATAAAGATTTCTTGTAATAAACTTGCAACCTCACCGTGTTACTGCAAAATATAATAGATACCTCCAAACATAAGTGTTTAGGAATATTGCTATATCTTACTCAGTCTACCAGACTAATCTATCTACAAACATTTTAATTCCCACTACAGTGCCACCTCCAGCATCCATTCCCTTACACTGACACACAATTTATCATTTTTCTTAACTCTCCAGAGCCTGATGTGGGTTTTGTTTAAGATTAAAAACTTTGTATATTGACCTAGTTGGTCATTAAAGCTTTGAACAGGCTGTGCATCTGAACTCAAGTCGAAATGCCTCAGTGAACTCATGTTGAAAAACATAAATGTTATTGCAACCAAATTCAGAGTAATACATTAGGAAGAAGGGCCATACCCACAAAGTAGGAGATTGCATTCTTATTGAAAGTGGCTCTTATTGAAAGAGACATGTCAGTTTGCAAGGGATGAGTGACTCAGCCTGACCTCCTGGTGCAGTATTACTGGAACCAATGCAATCCTTCTCTCTATCAGGTGTTTCTACACCAGTGCAGCAATGTCAAATCTGTCTGACACTGCGCGATCGATGCACACAGGAGCAATGCACACACTTCACAGACACAAGATCAAAGTCACTGCAGAAGAAAGCTTGCTTTTCTTCCTGAGAGCAAGAAAATAGGATCTTGCACCACACAGAGAGAATGAACGGACAGAATTTCTTAATTAAGGAAACAATTAGCCATAGAATTTTTGCAAAGAGAAAATGCCTGCACTAGAGAGCTCTCTGATCTGGGAGAAAGGCCTAACAGTCAAAAGTGGAAGCCAGAACTGCTTCCAGATTGCTTAGGATACAAATTAAAATCCCATTAGCAATAAACCACTAGAAAAAACTACCAGATATATGTCAGAAGCTGCGGAAAGCAGTACTCAAATCAAGATCTACAATTTTCTAGAAATAGCAGTTACTAAACTCAGTTAAAGAAAAAAAAGACTTGAGAAAATGAAAATAACTTTTGACATAAAACCCTGATCACACAACAGAATGGTTCCTCCTAAGGAAAAAACCATGAAAACTGAAGACCTAAAGACACCAGCCTGATGAAGGCTTCCCCTGCGTCTTGCATGGCCTTCACTCCATCCAGGTGCACACTGTCCTCCTCTCTCCCCCCTTCCATGTCAGTAACATAGTTTTACCATAATGCACTACAGTACAGTGGTCCCCCCAGCTATCTCACACAGCATTTGAAGGATAACTGAGAGGAACAGGACACTTCTAAGAGCAGAGCACTGATGCAAATGTGACAAGCTATTTTCATGAAGTTACCCCTTTCCAAAATCTATGAAAAACCCCACAATCTGTATATATTACAGGGACAGTACACTGTTGATCTTCTGTAAACTACAGTGTAAAGAGACCACATTTTCAAGCTTTTCACTGCTCTAGAAATGCAACTTCCAAAACTAGATTGCCAAAGTAATTCTCTATTATTTAGAATATAAGAGATTTTAACCTTTATTTTTTAACTTTATTTTAACCTTTCCCACTGCACAGACCAGACCTTTTTTCTTCTCTTCTCCAAGCACAAGCACAATGTGTTAAGCACAGAACAAGCTCTGACAGATACCTCTATTCCCATTCAAAATATTTGGTGTATTAGATTAGTAAGTAATTCTTCCTAGATCAAATTAAGTTATGTTTCTCCTCTGAGAAACAGTACTCTCTGATTTGGCAGCAAGTAGCTGCTGCAAATATCTCAAGCCTTCTCAGATGCAAAGTTTTGCTAGAAACACTACAGCAGGAAAAAAATGGGGCAAGAGTAACAGACAGCAAGGAAGAAAAGAGGTTCCCCATTTCGCACTCAAACTACTGCAGTTTTTACTGAGGCAAAACTAACCTATAATCAAAACCTTTGGCTCAGTCTGACATGAAAAACTCATGAAGGATTTAATTAATTCTGTGTTTAGCCTTACATATTAACTGGGTATCAATTAAAAAAAATAAACATTGAGACAGTCACAGTGAGGTTTGGAGTCCTCTAGTGAGGACATGCGATCACAAAATAACAATCCTGGAATTGTCCAGCTGACTACAAGGAAGCCCAAATCAAACACTCTATAGTCAATGAACAACGTTCACTGTCATACAAAAATGTCCCATGTAGAGTTTTCAAAGGATCTCACTTCATGTCAAAGTCCTGTGGTGCAATTAAGAAAACTAATAACTGATATTTAACTGACCTATAAACTAGGTGTGTCCCCCCAGCTGTTACCATAAGCAATGCATTTACTTTCCAACACAAAAGACCTTCGCATGCTGTTGGAAAAAAACGCAGATTTTGTTCTTCTGTTGACCTATGGACTTCAAAATGTTTAGCTTCCTACATGTGGGACATGCACCAGTTTGCAGACCATAAAAAACCACTTCTGTTTAAGATAATGTGTCCTCAGATATCTAACCTGGAACAAAATATTTGCTGCTTAATGAACTGGTACACCAGGCAAAAAGCTATGAATAGAGGAACAAAAATATTCTTGCAGCAAACCGAAAGTCAGCCTCTTCTCCAATTGATAATGCATGAGTTTACTTCATCTTTTTTAATCCAAGAAACTACTCTTACTCAAATTCTGAGAAAGAAATATATCTATTCACTCTGGCTGCTGATGTATAGATCCCCTAATTGTATAAGACATCAAAAAAGAAAGCTCTGGTTCCTTAATAAGGTTAGCATACTAAAAGAAGTAGCTTGAAAATAAAATACATTTGCTAAGAGTGCACTTACACTTACAGAGACTGAAGTAGTCACAGATTTATATCATTGCAGACTGGAAAGAATAAAAATGCTCCATTTCTGAAAGTGTTAAGACTACTAAATTTTCCAGCAGTGACAGCATCTGACCAGTCACACACATCATTAATATTCAACAAAAATGTTCCCTAATGAAAACACAATTTTTTTAATTAGTACTTTCATGAAGGTTCACAAATAAAGTACAGCAAGCAATTACATCAATAAAAGTTTCCATGCCCACAGTGCCCAAAAAACCACAAGACCTACCTGATTACTGCTTTTGGCAGCAGAGTTGGTCTGAGCTGTACTTGAAGAAAGGGAATCAAAAAAGGCCTGATCAGCTAATGAGTTACCACAGCTAATGCCATCCTTTGCACCTTCTGTTATAATCTGAAATGGAAAAGGTTGAGAAAGATTTTTCATGCTTCAATTAACCAAATTATGCTTTATCATGTATAATCATCCTAACACTCATATCACTAGACTTTAAGATGTTTGCATATAACCTTTTTAAATTCAAATTCAATTGAATTTTTTACAAGAAGCTGACATGATACTTTGGAGAATTTACTTCCACACAGATGGAACTAGGTTGCCTTACAACTACAACATACAAGACTGTTGTGGCAGTGAACACCTGTCTATAAATTGCTTAGGGAATATAGGTTGTTAATGTAAGTGCCTGGAGACTGTTAACTCAGTGCTCAGGAGATGGAGTTGGGCCAGTACATTTAGAAAGCCAAAAGCTACCAGACCATGAGCTAACCAACTGAAGCAAAAACACAAGGTCATGCGAGCCAGAGTGATCCTGCTTTCCCTTCCCCTCCTCCCCCTTTTGTTTTTTTTTAAGTAAACACAGCACTGCTGAAGGAAGAGAGACACATGCCTTAAGAGGCTGCAGGAATTACAGCCAAGGTATTCACCCACCTAACCAGCAACCCGCACACATGCAGACACTGGGCCATCCAAGAGTGAATGTGATTGCAGGCTTTGCACTGTGATCCCATTCCGCCCCCAAAACAATACCACTGGTGTTTAAACAACAATCAGGACAACACACACTGAAGAGACAACAGAGGGTCTCAGTAAGAAGAAAAGCTGAGTAGTCCCTGGACTTGGTAACCCACATCCTGAGCCCCAGAAATGTGGCTCCATTCCAGATTTATGAGCATGTGTCAAGTCTGCCACAGCAACACCAGTGTATATGTGCATTACTCATTTAACTTCCATATTGCTATCTTCAGACAGAAAAAAGCCCCAATCATTGGATTATGAGACCCCCAAACCACAGCAGATTCAAAACAACTCATTTTTTAAATACTCAAGCTGTATTTACTATAGACAGCTTCCTCTTGCATTTCTTGGTAAACCACTAAGAAGCTCAGATGCTTCGGATGGCATGTTTGCACTGGTGTCCAAAGCCAGCTACAATTGCTACAATGAGACTATGTATTCCAAGCTTTCTGTTTGAGCATTTCAGTTTGGTCAGCAAACCAGAGGATAGCCTTTTCAGAAGTTCTGCTTTCTTAGTGCTGAGCAGTGTAGTCACTTACCTCAACATAATCTGTTGGAACAAGTCCTCTCTCGCCTTGGCTGTTTTTTCCTTCTAACCAGCCTCCACCAACATCCTAAAAGAATTAATACAGACATGATTTTGCTAGATGGATCCCACAACATGCTTCAAATAGCTCAGCAGGAAGCACTGTCTTGCTGTCAAATGTCAAATGCTCAGCAGGAAGCAATGTCTTGCTGTCAATGTTCAAAACACAGCTATGACTGTGAAACTGAACAAACTCACTCAAAGCTGCTGAAGCAGCAGATACTCATTTAAACATAATGCAGACCATGCTGATTTTACACAGCTATTCTGGACTTCAGATTTTAACAAGTATGAAGGGGAAAAATAATTGATTTTTCAGCACTTTTGATCATTTATGAAACCACAATCAATTGTCTGGCCACAGACTGCATATAAACACGGCTATTAGTATGTCCATTTCAATGAATTAATTTTAATCAACAGACTATAAAGAAACAAGACGCAAAGAACAAAACTCTTGGTGATATCTGTAAAACCTCTGCCTCATTTATTGAAGGTGCAGACATGTGATGAGTGAGAGCTATCACCCACAGAAATGTTAAGGCTATTCTCAAAAATTAAAAAAGCCACATGCCACGTAAGATCTGGACTGATTCTTTCCACTTCACATTTCTTTTCAGAAGCAGTCTTATGCTATTAGTATAGAAGGAACTAACAACACTTCAGTTCTGATCTCAGTGGGACATCCTGATATTGTTTGGGGTTTTTTAAACACATATTCTACATACACTACGAAAGCTCTGTAGACATTTGCATTTGCAGTTAAGTGAACTTAATTCCAGGACAACATTATCTGGAATAAGCCAGCTCTGTTTTAAATCAACCTGTTTAGGGAACACATAGCTACATGTCAAGCTAGTTCACAGATGAAAATTGGAGACATATATTCTAGACAGCGATTACTAAATTTTAGGCTTTCTTAATTTGCTTTTTAATTGATGTATTTCTTTATTCACAATTTTGTTCTTTCACTTCAAAATTTTATATAGTCCTGCACTTTACAGGCACTCCAATAATGAGAAGCGTGCTTATGTATTCAAGATTTTATGCAGTAAAGATCAAGCAGTTAGTGAAATAACAACTTGAATTTATTTTGTCTTACATACCTAAAAGCTTAATATTCAAGAACACAAAAATAATTAGACATCTCAGATTATAAAGTCAACTAGCTTGGTTAAACTGCAAGAGCAATGACATCTTGAGCCAGAAGTCATATTTGCACTGCTACACTTGAAAGCAATCATCATTGGACTTGCATGACTTCAGCTATTGCCATCTAAACTTATCATATAAAAAAAGACCAAGAGCCTTTGGGGCAATTTATCATGAACACATAAAACAAAGTTTTACTTGCCTTAAGCCACAGATGTCTTGGTCAGTGAGAACTAGCTTAAAAGTGGTGATCTACTTATATTTAGTCTTACTTTTGTGAAATGGCATTAAGGTCCTGAAGTCATTCAAAATGCTACCCCTGCCATAGCACGGCACACTATCCAAGAGGGTGCTGGTGCTGTTAAATATCTGCTTCAAGTATTTAAGATCAGTGGAACTAAAAATTATCAGGATTACACATGCCTAGGATCTTCAAAGAATTGAGCTTACTCTGCAGAATGTGTGTGTTTTACACAAATGGATAAATAAGACCTGGCTTCATGATCAGGTAGTTTTTGTTTGTATTTGTTTCAAAAGGCAAGCCTATTCACTAAGCCATATCATTACACAAAATTCAAAGCAGAATCAACTAATACTTTGTTACCAAGGGTAATTATATATGACAATTAAAGTACACTGAAATTCAAAATGTCAGTGCTAAAAAGCCTATTCATTTAACAATGCCCTGATAGCATTGTGATAGTATTGTCACCACTTCTTTCCTATACCTTGTTCATATTTCTTTAAAGGACACAAAATTTCAATAAAAAATTTTTGTTGTGAGTTCTTTACCAAACTTGGAATGCTGAAGTCATTGATTAAGAAACTCAAACCAAGAAGTGAACTGGATGTCACATTTAAATGCAAGTGGCAAGCACATGAAAGATTACATGCACACAAAATGTGCAATATTAGGCACACTAAAACAGACAAGGCATTCAGATGTACAAGCTATCACCACCATTAGTTCCTTCCTTTTACTTGTCTCTCAGCTCTGTTTAGAGGAAAACAAAGCTGAGTACATTCTTATGTATGTGGGCACAGTTTGAGAAGGCCCCATCCTCCAAAACATTGCATTTGTTTCCACAAGATTCTTAGAAAATTCTTTGTATTCGGGGTTTTTTTGCTAATTCTTCAGGGAAGGGTAGCCAGGCCTTTCAGATATCACCAGCACCATTTTCCTTCCTTCTGCTGATAGAAGTAGGCCAGGAAAGTGCACTGAAGCAAATTCCATCTCAGTTTTCTTACCGGGTTGGTGATTGTGATGATCTCCCCTTCACTGACAGTCAGCTCATTGTTTCCAGGCTCAGCAGCAAAATCATACATAACACGAGCCTGTATGAGGAAAGAACGTAACAGTGAGGCTTCCAGCTTCTGTAGAAGGTTTCATTAAGAAAGCATCAGCACAAATTATCCTTAACTTACAGAAATAGTCAGTGGGGGAAGGCTGAATGTACAAAGAAAACAACTCAGCACATAGGAAGCTGACATTTCCTAGATTTGAACTGCACACTCAACAGTAACAACTTCAAAAGACAAAAATCTCATGTGGAGCTTGTTGGAGATAATCTACCACAAGGATTTAAGACTGGTTGTCTTCTGTCATGTCCAAAACTACACGTACAATGTTTTCCAGGGGAAGAAGGAAAGGTTCCGAACTTCAGCAAACAATTTTTTTTTTTTTTTTTTTAATACAAAACATATTCTAGCTCCAATTTGGGTAAAGGGAAGTAGTTCACAGAGCAAGCAATTCAGAAAAAGAAAAGCAAGTAACTGCAGATGTAAGTAACCACTGCTGTGCATAAAATGTAATATGTAAAATTATGTTTTGAGACTCTATATGGGAAGAATTATGCAAATGCAGAAACAAGCAGTGAGACTAGACTTGTTATACCTGGCATGAGGAGGGAGGCAAAAACAAAACAAATCTAATTTTTAAGTGTTTAGATACACAAAGGCTTTGTTGTGCACTGACTCTGCTATTACACTACATAAAGAAATGTTTGAAACATTTGGTTTTACTAATAACAACTAATACACATTCAGTGTACAGCAATGAGTTCCTTCTTGTACTTGGAGGGCGAGGGGAAGAAAAAAAAACTAACCAAAAAGAAGCATTTTCAAAGTATATTCAAAATATTATTTTATTGTCAAAGGAGACAATATATATATAACAAAATAAAATAATTTCTGTTGAAAAAAAGCTATGTGATAGGAAAAAAATACCGAAAGACAGACATTTACCATCAGGTCTTGCCTGTCTCAAAACTGCAGGTTTTATAATCCTCAAAATTGAGGATTACAAAATCCTCACCCAGACACAACTTCTTACAGAAAACCAGAGGAAAACAGAACTTCCCATTTTAATTTCATGAGTATCATGTGGAAATACTTCTGGCCGGTCAAAAGATACTTTTAAAAACAGAGCTGAGAAAAAACCATAGATGTTTCAGCCGTTCAGCTGACAAATCTAACCCCAAACCATGTGCACAACAAACCGAACACTTGGTCTTCTCCAAGAGAAGCTGCTCTCCAATACTAGAGCAGCACAACATTGCAGAAAACCATGCGTCCTAAGCACGCTGAATGCTCCCTTGCACGAAAACTTTTCCCTTAGAATGGAGGCTTTCAGCACTTTCAGATTATGCCATGCAAAACAGAGATGAAGAGGTAAAAACTGTGCTCAATAATAACACTGCTTTCTTTCCAGCAGCACATCTGGCCTCCATGGAAATATAAGAATAAGCTGCTTTACTTTCCTGAAAAATGAACTGCAGAGAAGCAGCACACCTCTAGAAATACAAGAACATTTTAAGCAGGGGTGTAAAAAGCACCACGCTCCAGAGCTCTTCCCTCAGCAGTAGCAGATGGAGGTGTTGAACATGTCCTTTTTCCAGCAGGTTGTCAAAATTTATCCACTTTCTGCAAGTCAATTTACAGCACTCAGATGCTGGGCATCTGAATCATGGGAAAAGCAGCTTTCTTAACCAGGGAGTCTTCTTAGCCTTTTTCAAGTAATACACCATAATATTAAATTCTTGCTTCTATTCACAGGAATGATGAGAGTTTACCAGAAAAAAAGGCAACAGACAAATTTTATCAGCCTTCAGAAAAACTGGGAAAACATCCCCAGACCAGACTGGAAAGGTAAAATGTATTTCTGTCTAACAAAAGAACAGATGCAAATACTAGATTCTCCAGATACAGCAGTGAAATTAAAGTTACTCAGAGAAAAAAAAAAGGAAATATTCAGCTTGTAGAGAAAGAAAAAACAAGAGATACATAGAATTTATTAAAGTCATTGTACTGAAGTCCACTTATTGACCTGCTCTGGACACCTGTTTCAAAAGTCAGAAAAAGTAGAAAACAGGGAAAAAATTACAAACAAACCTTGCTAACTACAGTTTACAAAATTGAAAAACAAATTTTTAAAAAGCAACCCATTTGCAATGCTACAGAAATGGATTATTACAAAGCATTAAGAATTTGAGGTACATCTGAAACCTGGTCTGTATATTGACATTTCAAATACATTCCTCATCTTTTTCTGCCAGTACTCTCCATTTCACCTGAATCTCTAGGCTCACTTGCCTAGGCTGGAAATGAAGACCTTAAGAACTTCTGGCAAATAAGCTTTAACATTGCCCTCCTAACTGTTGAATTTATAAACTCAACCAATTCCAAAGTAAAACTAAGTGACTAAATGTTTTTGCCCTAACTATTAAGTGTATAGTTAACAATGGAAAACCCCCTAGGCTTTTCCTGGACAGATATATCAGCCCAAATCTACTTAAATTTCTGACAATCAGTTCCAAAATACTATAAAATGGAAAATGGTTTGACTTTCCAATAAGCTTTTTCCTTCTTACCAGCCATAAATATTGTGTATTTGCAACTCATGCAAAACTGCAAATGGGCATGGAAAAAAGCATTTAACAAGAAAAGGATTTTAGCTCCTTGGCACTGGAATACACCCACTGAATACTAGGGCTAAGCTTAGGGACACTTTGAATATTCATAAAATGGGAATCTCTGATGAATTCCAGATCATAATCTGGATCAGTCCAGATTAATGAACACCAAGAAGAGAACTTCTTCAAAACACAGCTTAGAAAAAAAATTGTTACAGTAAGTGTTGTGTTTCATATTTACTTCTGATCACGTACAAAAGGATCAAACCATCCAAGAACTACAGGAACTTCAGAAATTGAAATACTTTGTTAGTGGAATAAAGGCCAATAAAGGCCACTGCTTCATTTACAGAATACTGCAAACATGTAAAACAAGAAAGAACCATTACCAAATCTATTAGCTATAAGAAAATTAATTTCATCTTCTGGTTGCATGCATATCTCCCCTCTCTCACCACCACCTCTGCTCCAAGATACAAATGGTTCTAGATTCTGAAGTTGTTTTGTCAGTTCCTTTGAGAAAAAAACCCTGCTAATCCAAAAAGCTTTAACTGATTTCACTGACCAGAGAGCAGGCCTGGGTCTTGTACTGTAAGCTACTGCTCCCTTTGCTCAGGTGGCAACAGAGCATCTCCACTGGGAATTTGGAACACATCCTGACGTTCACCTCATGCTCCCTGGTGTGAGGAAAGCCTGGCATGGATTAAGCAGAACCCTGCCACAGCACATAGCAAGAGGGAAAGGGTTCTCTGATCCCCAGCATCCCTGCACCTCTGCCATATACTGCAGTTTCTCCAGAATGAGAGGGAGCCAGCAGTTCTGTCTACAAGTCCAAGATGGGGGAAACTGGTAAGAGTTAAAGGAAAATTAGCTTTTCTGCAGTATGGATATAGAAATTTAGACTGTAATAAAGGAAATAAAAAGGAAACTGGTAATTCTCAGTGTTGTATCAGCATTCTTTGGAACTTGTTCTACCTGCTGTAGTTACACAACTGGACTCTAGTTTCCCAATTTACAGATTTACTGACTTACTACAGTGTGAAGCCTCCCAACACTGAGCATTGCAATCAATAATTATTATTGTCTTTTTAGAATTATGATAGAATCATACCTAGGAATATTAAAACACCAAAGATTCCCCACACTGAAAAGCAGTATCTAGATTAGTGAAATATATTCCTCTTCAGGCATGGAGCAGACTTCACCTCCCTCCACTACTTCTGTCTGAGTTGAGTGCTTCCCTCTTCTTTCCGTAATATTAAAAACCAAAAGGAAAAAAACCCAACAACAAAAAACCAAGCATTTGACAACTTCTTTCTGAAAGCAGACATAAGACTATGCAACTCTACCTGACAGTGTTAAGGCTCTTTAGCATAAATGAAGTGGAAGGAAGTTGTCTAGCAAAAGTCATTAAAATAAATTTCCAATGAAAGGTTACACTATTGCTTCACTAAGTTACTAGATGAATATCCAAGATCTCTACAGACATCCTGATCCACTGGCTCCTGCTGGGTGCCCCCCAGAGCCTTGAAAGAGGTGATAAAGCAACAAAAACACCTATTGCTCACAAGAAGAATCTTTCTGCCTTTTCCAAAGCATTTCACTCAAGGCTAGGCTCACATGGAAAAGCACCTTACTCCAAAATTGAACGATCTTGATGTGCACAGGCCACACTTGCCTGCATTACAGTTCAGCTGCAGCAGGGTAGCTCTGTCATGGAGAAGGACAGTGGAAGCCCCTGTGTATTCCTCACCAGCCATAAGGACACAGGCTGACAGCTAATGCACATCAGTTGAGCTCAGAGCAGCTTTTACAACACCTTCCCTGCCTCAGCCTTCCTTGAGATGAATGATCAACGACCCACATAGAATGACTACTGGTTTTTCTTTAAGTTCACACTTCTGAAGCAAAATGTTTTTGTAATGCTGGATTTCCTGCCTGCAATGCAACAGTTCTGCATCAAAGTATGCTTTATAGCACAAAAATTGGAGAAGCCCCTCAAAAACTGGACACACCTTTGAAAATGCTTTCCCTATGCACAGGACTTCATTTGTATTAGGAAGAGATCTAGTGTTACACTAAAGATTATCTGTTTCAACCATGTGTTACAATTTAGGAAACTTGTACCACAACTGCTTTTCTCAGTCAGTGGGCAGTGGCAGATAGTACAAAGGAAATATCCATAGAAGTTTCATGGCATGAAAATCCCATAAGTGCACAGGTTTCTCTTCATAGTTGGCACTTCAGCAGTTCAGAGCTTCAGCCACCCTGCACTGCTCTTGTCAAGAGACAGGGATTCACAGGTTTAAATTGCTTGTTGCCACTGTCAGAAATACAAGTGCTGTACCACAGCAGCAAGATGGCAACACGTCATGCTGGTGGCACCAATTCTCATATTGACAGAAGGAGGATCAAATTCTGGAT